ATGAGTTTCTTTTGAAGTAACGTTGCTAAAACTGGAAGTTGCTGTGACATCAGCTAACTCACACACTCTTTAATGTCAGGGCCAAAACTTTCTGATAAAGTGAACTTTCATACTGACAAAGCTGCTGCTTGTCACACCCAGAGGACAGTAATATATGAACAGAACAACTGAGGCAGCAAAGTTTGCAAAACACAGTGTTGGCTTGACTGTAGTCACAGTTTGTGGGATAGCTGACTGTGAAACAGGCCTGTTCCTGGACATATCACATGGATCAACCAAGTTCAGGTTCTGAAATCCTTGAAGGATCACAGGATCAGTTTTTACACTTTACACTAAACTTTAGGCTGAAACATCCTGAACACCACAGAAGGGAAAATAGTTAAAAATCACCAGATTTCAGCCCAAATCTATGAACTCTGAAAATATTAATAATATGAAGGCAAAATATTACGACTGTACCGTCAGTATTTTTGCATGGCTTCATAAAAAATACTGAATGTAACGTAAAAAGGAAAATATCAGCGGTGGTCAGATGGGAACATTCTGGATTAAATCAGCGACAACGCTCGGGCTGCATGAGCAGATGTAACAGAGAGTTGATGCGTCTTTACCTGTTCTGCAGTTTTTCTAATGCGAAATGTTGAATTCACAGCATTTTCAGCACCTGGTGCCCCTCAATGACGTCTCTGATCGCGTCTTTGCTCCCGGTGTTGCTCTCATCGCGCTGCTGCGCTGGTATAAACTGTGTTACAGTGTGCAGCGTGCATGCACGGCTGTGTATCGGCGTCTTTGCGGTCCTCCTGAGCTCTGAGTGGTGCTGTCTCGCATCTGTCGCCCTGCAACGACTGCGCTTCCATTGCATTTCTCCAGCAGCGGACTAACCAGGCCCCTCGCAGCCGCTACACGGTGCCCCCGAGCCGGGCTGATTCCCACCGCAGACCCGGGAGGTGAGACGGTGGCGGCACAGCGGAGGACGACGGACTCCATAACCGCTGCGAAGGCCGGATCTACGGCGAGGAAAAGCCCAGGATGTGATGAAATCCTAAACAAAGTGCGACACACACACAGAGACACACACGAGCCCCTGCACATCATAAACGGGCCCGTGTTGCGCTGCAACTTTGCGTTTTTGGCTCTCGGTGGGCGCAGAAGGCGGATAATCATAGAGGTGAGGTCGGGGGAATTATTGTCTGGGGAAGGGTGACGCGCACTTCTCAGCAGCCCCTGCGCTGTCAGACGAGGAAGTGAAGCTCCACACACGCCCATTCGAGCCTGTCGACCCTGCTGAAAAAGCCCGGAGCCGCTCATCAGATAACAGCAACGGACTTTCCAAACATGCGCCCACTTTCGGATGGACGGCAGCGGGAATAACCTGCAGGACGTCGAGCATTTCAGCAGGTAGGCGAGCGAAGCGCTTTACGCGCAACGTGGACATGACAATTCTTC